TCACAATGATAATTTTAATACTTGTATAATTTCATATATTTCTCTTACTTCAATAAAACAAAAATTGAACCTGGCCAGCGAGGTGCCAAAGTAAAGCTTGTGTGTTTTATATGTAGGCAGCATAAGCTATAACTACACAACTGAATTATTTAAAGGAATTATTTAGTTTGCTTAATGGTGTGTGAGTGTGCCCTGTGATGGGTTGGTGCCCCATCCTGGGTTGTTCCCTGCCTTAAACCCATAGCAAGGCTCCGGACCCCCCGCGAGCCTGAATAAGGCAAGTGGTTAAAGAAAACGGATGGATAGATTTAGATTGCTTATAGAATAATTATGTTTTTAACTACGTTGGTGTTACTGCTTTTCATTAATTTTGTTTCAGGTTCATAGTACTTATCATTAATTCTGGTTACTGCTTCTTAAAAGAAATATAGTCTTTGAAATTCAAAATTATTTTAATTACTGTGTTTAGTGACTGTCAGTCAACTGTATCGAGGATCAAAGGCCATGGTCAATTTATAGGAGTGTGCATTCAACATGCATGGAGACATGAACATGGACACAGCATCGAGCATCAACACTGGCCTGGTAAGGAGCCACACGGCGGCACAGCAGATCCCTCAAGGACGCACAGACGCATGATTGTGCATCCACACGTGCGTTAGGCAGATGTGATGGGCTTTCGTCAGTATCCTAACCCAGCGCTCACAAACGGCAGCTGGAGCGCCGTGTATCCGACCGGTGCGGCACGTGGGCGTCGTCGTGCCGATGCCTTATTTCTGCTGTCTCCTTCTCCCGCCGAAGGAGGATCATGGTCAGGGATAGCGGTGCACAGTTAATTTCTAAGCGAGAGAGCAGATGTGTCTTGAAAACACTGATGGCAGAGGGTAGCGTCCAAGGCCAGGATCTCAGTGGGGGCTTTATTTCAGCACTGGTCTCCTAGTGTGTGTGTGTGTGTGTGGGGGGGAGGGGGGGAAGGAAGATATGTATCTATAACATTGTGAGGACATTTTATAAAAACCTGTCATTTTGATGTTTTTTCAGAAACTCAATTTTATAAATATCTGTAACTACAATCAAACTAAAAATGTTGTTGTTGGGATTAGGGTTTTTCCCCATAGGAATGAATGGATGGTCCCCACAAAGATATGAATACAAACGTGTGTGTGTGTGTGTGTGTGTGTACATGTGTGCATGCGTGCACGTGCGTTTGTGTCTGTTTTGCCAATCTTGTGGGGACATTTTTTTGGTCCATAAATTATGAAAAATAGGAATTCCCCCAAAGTGAAATGGCCTCTTCCTTTGTTTGTTGTTTATCAGATGTGTTTTAATACAATTTAATAATTCATGAGTGAAGTTAGGATATTATATAGGAGTTATATATTGCATTACTCAAAATGAGTCACCATAATAATAGGCAAGCATATGTGTGTGTCACTGCGCCTACCCCTTTTTCTTGAGTGTCATCAATTCCCCTACAGAAACATTTCTTTTCTCCGGCTGTTTCCCCTGCACTAGAAAATGAAAATCATGCGCTTTATCGACATGACTGTAAATAAATTGCTACCAGCGCATCTACATTTGTGGAGCACGAGGGAAAATAACTTCCATTAACGATGGTGCCGTTACTGGTGTTTCCCACCCACCTTCCCCTGATTCCAAAATAAATAGAACGTCCATCATAAAATGTGCCCATATACCAGGCTAGCGGGGAGAAAACGTTTACAGAAAAGTCGGCCCGGTCCAGTTAACGGTGCCCTTTTAAGCTCTGTGTGCCCTTGTGCATTTTATAACTTTATGTGAGCATTTCTTGTTCGATTCTGTTTCACGTATTGATGGGGCTCGTGCGTCAGCGACATGGCTGTGACCAAAGCGTTACTGGTTCCTCATAATTTGGGGCTCAGACCTGGCCATTGACCTTGAAGATGAGCACTGAGTGCCTCTTTTAACCAAACATTGATCAGGTGCCTTGAGTATTAAAGGTTATTTGATAGACCTTGTGAACGAGCTTTAAAAATGCAGTATGCTTGTAGTCTGGCCGCTTACGGCATTGCCATCTGGAGTCTGCTGCCTCAATGGTGATGCCTTCCCCGCACCATTTACATTTTTTTTCTTTGGTTTGGTGACTGTCACACCGAAATGTCCGCAAAGCCAAAGGGTCACTGGGCGTGGCTTGTGTTTTTTCCCTACAAAACGAGCTTGGATGATCTTTGACCTTAGGAGCGGCGTGAGGTGAGACTTGGCTTTGCAGTGCAGGGATGCCGCCGTTCACTTTCGCAGGTTACGCCTGGCAGAAGCGGCGCACAGAGGGACAGCTCTGCACCAGAGATCCTCTAGATTTTACTTCATCTCTGCCTCTACGGCTTAGTTGTCATCAAACACACACTCCTCATTGGTCATTTGACAACCGTAATGATCCGTGATGAAAGTCCAATTTACTTTGGAGAAAATTACATATTTATTGATGTAAATGTATACATTTTTTATTCGCACTTCCTCGGTCTTTGCTCAGTCTCGGTCCATTCCACGTCAGACCAAGCCGTCCACAGCTTCCCGCTTGAAGACCTTCGGAGGCCAGGCTTCACGCTCCCTGCATGCAGCCCCTGCCAAGCCGGCCGCTCTCTTTACACGCCGCCACCCTGCGCGGCGTCATGCGGGACAGCCGGCGCAGATCGGGAGAGGCGTCTCTCGCTGGCAAACTGGCAACCCGCAGACACCTAGTGGGTCTGTGGGAGGTGTGTTTTCAGCGGGCAGTCGAGGTGCCCTGGCTGACTGAAACCGTCTTTTGCGCGACGGAGCGACGCCAGTTATGTTCCGCCCCAGTGGCCCTTTTCCTTTCCTCTCTCTGTTTCTGTCTTTGCATCTCTGTAATACATATGTAGAAATGGGGGAAAAAAGACTACAGATTGAAATAACGGGAGGGGGTGTTTAAAGAGTCTTTATCACAGGAATGTTCCTTACGGTATCCAGCATAACAGTGCGTGGTAACTATGTCTTTTTGGATCAAAAGTGCGTGGATAAATAATAACTAAAGAAAAATGAACCCCAAACGCATCATCATGTACTGCAAAGCCGGTAAGCTGATATTGGAGCCAAGCTGGTGGTGGCTGGTCTATCTCGGCTGATGAGAGCTGGCATGTGACTTCAAGCTGGCAGGAGGATTTGTTCTGCTGCCAGTGGATGCTGTTGGGCAGAAGTGTGGAGGAGAGGTTAGGGTTGTGGGTTTGGAAGCCCCACTGTGGCACTGCTGTCGTGCCAGGCTTTTAACCCGAACTGCTTCCGTGAAAAAACAAATGTACTGGGGAAGCTGCAAAATTTTGACTAAACGGCAGATCCTTTCACAGCAATTTGCCCTGAAGAAGGACATATGTCTCCAAGAGATGTCCCTTAATCCTTGAGCTACGGCCCTGTTGCTTGAGGAACATTTCCCATTGGCACAGTAGTTTTGCACGGTCCAGATTCAGTAAATCAGGACTAGGATATGTGAGGTAGTCTGGGTTCAAGACAATTTTTTCTTCCGTTCTTTGTCTTCTATTGTTCAGAAAATACTGCACAAACCTAAAATTCTATTTTATGGTAAAAGAATGGAACAGGGCAGTGAAATGGGAAGGTAGGATAAATAGATCAAACATGCTCCATGCCTAAAATTTGATTATCATTATTAGTCCCTTATTAGTCCCCTGATTTCATTCCATAATATTTGAATCAATAATGGAAGTATATGGATGTGTGTCAGTTTCATGTGCATCTATATTAATGAACATGTTGACCACGCTAGGACGACGTCACCGAGTGGAACGGAGCTGAGCTGAACTTGAGAATGCAAAAGGTCAAAGGCATTTGCGAAAAAGGTGATATGTGGCTCAGAAGAAAATGTTCCCAGACAAACGGTTTTTTTGTTATGCAGCAGCGCTGAGATCTGACAAATAAAAAAAGTGAAAGAAAATTAGGAGGAAAAGATACATTTCTAAAGGGACTGGAATCACATCACTGATGGTAACCATGGTAATAATTACAGAGCAGACAGACACTGCTGAAGAGAGAGCGAGAGAGAGAGAGAGAGAGAGAGCGCACTAGGGACAGGGTTCGGAAAACGTTACCATCACAATGTCAGTATGGCGATTGTACTGTTACTTTTTAAGGTAGGTGTCCCCTTATGACTTAATCCTGTCCTGCCCTCTCTGGATATACTTTTCAATTAATATTTTCTTATATTCATCATCAGTATCGGTAGAACTACCTTTCCCTTCATTTTCCCACCCACTCCTCTCATTGATAGTGTTAAGGGTTAAGAGGTTGTAACCGTGGGTTTATAGTTGTCATAGCAACAAGAAGCAGCGATATACATGGTCCCCCATCCGTTATGATTGGTTGAATCCAAGTAACTTAGGTAAAATCCTCAAAATTGCACACCACCATTGGAGAATATAATAACGGGTTAAATATTGAATATTGTAAGTACTGTAATATACATACGCACAACAATTAAATGTTTGTCAATACTAATCAATCGATACCAGTTATTGATCTTGATTAACATAAATAACACATGGTAAATAATTTACACAAATTGCGACTCTCAAGGGGGTGAACGTTAATGAATGGATTATTTACATGATTGATATTACTATAATGCTGCAATAAGTAAATATCGATTAAAGGTTGGGCTAATTGGGAAGTACATGCTTTTATATACAGATCAGTCAACTGAAAATGGTATTATTTAAATAAAGGAATGTTCTACCGTGTATGGTTTAATGGAGCAACCCCTTACGTCCGCTTCTTACAGTCAGCCATTAAGGCGAACTATGCTAATAAAATAAAAATTGCAGCTTATATACTAATAAAATATTCAGTATATATTTGGCTTTACAACTTAAACTAGTACATAACCATCCCCTTAGCTTTACATTTCGCTCATCTGTGTGTGTGTGCGTGCGCGTCTGTGTGTAAGAGTGAGACGGAGAGCGAGGGAGAGAGAGCGCGAGAGCGAGCGAGAGGGAGCTAGCGATCACCAAGGATCCCTTGTATAGTAGGCTACTTAAAATCATTCTGCGTCCAATTACTCTGTTGCTCCCCCCGTTTACTATATCCCCGCCCTTCTCGAAACTGACAGCGATTGAAAGCAAAAGCGGGGGATGGCAAGGAAGGGCAATATCATTTATTCAACCAAATACACCTGTAAACCGTAGTGTCTACCAAATCTGTGGTATACAACCGCAAAAAATGATCTACAAAACGCGAGAAGCGGATTGTCGAAGAAGATGAAGCAACCATTAGAAGAAACGGGAAACGGAACGTGTTAAGCCTTTGGATACTTTTGCCGCAAACTACGTTATTGTTTTCAATTAGAGACGTGCCATAGTTTACTTGACGTTGCTTAATTTTTGCCGGTGGGGAAATGAGCGATGGAGATCTGCGCATTACTGACGGACTGCTGCTCAAGATTTTCATGAGAAAATAACTGATCTGCGGAGAAACTCCCTCCTGTCACATCCCTCTCTAGCGTGGGAGCTCACAGAGATAAATTATCGACGGAAAGATTGCATTAGGATTTTCTGCTTTCTCGGACTCGGGAGCTGAAGAAATAGACACACTAGTTGACGCACTAATGTACACTGAAGAGCAAGGCTGCACACATAAACGCACACGCAATCTAGCTTTGATGATCGTGAAGATCCATGCGTAAGAATCGTCTCCAACAGAATCATAATTAATGTGCCGATATTTACAAATATCATCTAAATTATAGTATAGTAAATTAAAAAAACTTGAGGCAGATGAAAAGTATAAAATGATATACGGTCTTATACCCTAATATTTGACTAACCGAAAAATCAAGGCATTTGAATATTGGTTTCAGTAATAACTGTTATGATTACAAAATACGAAGGATATCCGTTTTGCAAAACAGCTTATAATTACAACAGGAGACTAATTTAAATACATAATACAATCAAAACATGAGAGAATTTCGCCACAGAGGATATACCGTAGATTATCCTGGAAACTGCAGCGGGATCTTTACTCAGCGTGTAAATTTTGAAGGGGTCGGGGGCAGGGGAGCAGTTGACAAGGATCAGGGAGAGGCCGGGGCTACTGAGCTCTCAGCGAGACTGCCTGCCGCGGAGCAGCCGCTGCCGGGGCTGGAGAGCATGGAAGGGGGGAGGTGGAAGAATGAACCTTATATCCTTGAAGAATTATAACATTCACTATTTCAGAGTTGCAATATTGTTCGAGCGTTTTAATAGTTTACAGGTCAGATAATCTATCAATCAAACATCTTAAATATGTATATACATTATGTGCTTAATGTTATTCCGTAGCTGTATTGTATTCGTCTCTTAATCGGGGGGACGTTAAATCCTTCTTGAATAGCTGAATCTTCTACAACTGCAGTGTTCGTTTCACAGTTTTATATTTATATGTATTGTTGTTATTTTGAAAGCAAGTTTCAATTAGTTTTATACCAAATCTATATCCAGGGGAATTTAATTGACAAAATATACTACTCATAATCAATTTATCCTCAACAAAAACTAAAATAATTAAATGTTTTTTTAATTATAATATTTTTATTTGAAAATATATTGTATTAGAATACTGTCTGCTAAAATGTTCTGTGGGTAATTGAATGACCATGCAGAGGAATGCTGTTACTTTGTACAGCACTTGGATATGCTAGGCAGACAAGCCATTAAACTTGATTTTCATTGGCTTACATATATAGTTATACAGTGAGTGTTAAAATAAGGTGACAGCTTAAATTTTACAATTTTACATTATGTGCAGTTGTTTTGCTCTTTTTTCAAACTATATTCCTATTTTTTAATATCCTACCTTCGATCTTCGACTGATCTTTGCTTCTGAAAACAGCTTTAAGCAAGAACTTAAACTATAACTCTCACCCTTTAGAGTATATTTAGAGCAACTTAAGTTCATTGTGTCTTTTTTTCTTTCTTTTTGCAAACATGCATAATGTGGAGTATGGTTAGAGCGTTTAAACCATACATACACACATATTTTGCAGTCTGGATTCACGAGTAGAGCATGGATACATTGAACAAACATACATAAATAGATTAAGGAGTTTACAGTCAGTTTTACACTTTCACATTGAAGCATAACTGTGTTCAATATATATTCCGGGCAAGAAAGTGAAGAATAAAAGAAGAAACTCAGGAAACAAAAAACTAACTTTGGACATTCAATCAAGGGACTTTTCACCTTGACTCTGAGCAATAGAGCAGGCAGGAGGAACAAACACAAAACAACTGACAATATCTGGCAATGTTCTCAAGAAACCTGGAGTCCTGTTCTAGTTCTGATCAACATTTATAGGTAGGCCCAAAATCTCCTTTTTTGCATGTCTTCTTAGCACATTATTATGAATGAAGCTTTGAATCAGGGTTTGATCATGAAAAAAGTTTATATTCATGTTCTTGGATGAATTTCTACATGCATTGATGGTGATACTGTGGACCTTAAAATGAGGATATGACCAATGATGGCTTTTTGGACAGGGTTCAGTAATAGGTGTTTAATGTGGTTATTTTATTTCCCAGAATCCTCTGCCATCAGGTGTGTCTTTTATAGATATTAATGGCTTACCTCTGTGTACATCCTGTGTTGCTTATTTTGGTTAAACACAAAATTAGCCACTACTGTGATATGAAGAGATGTTCCAATTGCTTTAAATATTTTTAGACAATTTATTTCTCATATCTGTCGATAAATTGCAAGTAAGATGACTTAGGAACAACTGTTGTAATAGAAAAAAAAATCATACAGGCTTAAGCACACTTTAGAAATTGTTTTTGCTCGTGCTGACGTTTTTACACTTGCTTTTTTGTGTGTGTTTATTAAATTGTTGATTTAAAGAACACCATGAGAATTTAAGGCCTTGTCCTGTTTTGTCATGGGAGACTTTTGACCCTTCCCGATTTTCTGAGGGTAACCATGATTGGCTGTTGCTTTTTATTTAAAGAATGGAAGGAAGTACATCATATATTGTAATTTCTATTAGCCGTTCTTTACTAAGACATAGCATTTTTGTTATATCCATTTAATACGACCAACATTTGTTTGAATTATTAACATTAACAAACATTATACATGTATGAATTCAAGAACTGTAAGATTATGGTAATGCATCTGAATTCAGTTTTTATTAATGCTTTAAGTTTGTCCATATGCATACATTCTGAAGGACATAGCACCTTAGGACACATTTTTACCAAAACAATGAGCTATAAACAAAAATGCAAATGGATTCAAGCTTTTCTACACCCACACTCTCCGCGTCTCGCTTCCCTCTGACCGAGGTAGCTGGAAGCTGGTACTGCCCCCACATACTCCAGGTTGACATCAAATTTACATTCCGAACAGACAACACACACACACACATGTATGCACAGACAGACACACGCAAATACACACTGATGCACTTTAATAATAACCAAAAAATCAGACGGCATATCGCCCATATACACTGGAACTCAGTGTAGCTAAGACGTTGGAAAACTTCAGAAAAAAACATTTATTTTTTTGTTAATATCCAATCATCTGCCTGTTCCATAATGTGATACAGATTGTTCAAATGATCCCTTTAGATTACAGTGCGTTTTTTTTATTTCCATTTGCATTTTGTGTGAGTAGAGAGATTTGTAAATAATTAAAATCTTACCAGAACGTGTAAAATACATCTTCTGTATTCAAATGTTGTCCTCTGCTCTGGCAAATTTATTCTAGGGTGTATGTGTTTGTGCGTGTGTGTGTATATATATATATATATATATATATATATATAAATACGTATGTATGTATGTATGTGTGTATCTGTTTCGATGTACATGTTCAGTGCTACATGCTTTCTGTTCAGTGTGCTATTCTTATTCTTTCTGCTACATGTCTACGGATGACTGAAATGGAAGGTACTTGGAATTGTTACCATGGAAACCAAACAAAGAGCCAGAATTCAGAAAAAGGGAGAATGAGAGATGGATTTTACTGGACATATTATACGACATGTATGAATAATTTTGCTTTGCATTATATGTCCTAAGTGTTGGCATATACCCTATAATTAGCCCTTTTCCAGTAATATAGTTGTACTCCATTGCTTGGGAGATGGGTACTACCCATGTGCACAATATATCCACATTTAAAGTATGCACAATCAAGCAAATTTCTTATGTTTTCCATATTTGTGCTGCAGCCCAGTGCCCAGGGTCCTCATATCAGGAAATTACATGTAAAATGCAAGAGCATTTTTGTAAGCTTGAGGAATCTCTAATTTAAGGTAAATTACTTGATGTGGTTTTGCATATTGTATGAAGTTTTGTGGCTATGGTGTGTGTTAAGGATGAAATGGTTACCGGTTTCATTGTAAACCATGGTAAAATACCCGACGGTGAGTATTACTCCTTCAAATTTTAATTATCACTAAAACCATGGTTGAGTACTGCGTCTTGAAAAACAGACATTAAATGCTGTCTAGTGTCAACCAAAGTTAGTGACAGTCTCCGAAATGCAGGTGTGCAGGTGCAGCACGGTGGGTTTGTTTTGTGTCAGTGAAAATATGGCGGAAGGCAGTGACAGGGCTCCGAAGGTTTTAATGTCAATGCACGTTTGATATGTTTTTCATTAGCTATTGGCTGCATTATTATTTTTAATGTGCATGCAACAACAAACAAAAAGAGCATAGTGCTACTAATTTTATTTGTGGTTTTCAATATAAATCTTGGTGAAAATCTTTCAATTTCTGTATCAGTTCTTTTTGAACATTTTCAGCACATATTAACAATACCACGATAAAACTGATAACCATGATAATTTTGGTTGCTATAACCGTGATATAAAATTTTCATACCATTTCATTTTTAGTAAGTATGTAGTTAAGGGAATAGCAACATTTAAATAGGATGGTAACAGAGTACGATCTGTATGAAAACACATTTAAAATACTTTTGGCATATAGTGTCCTTTTTTAAATAAGAAAACATATAGATAATTTTTTTCAAGGCAAGGCAAGAGTTCATTGATAAATGTGGAAAAGGACTGTATTCATTTGTAAGTGTGAAATTGAGTGTTTGTAACTAGTTATATGATTATAGTTAACAGTTCTTTATAGTAGATTTAACTGTCTGCTGGGTCTCATTCTGGTCTTCATCTCATTAACCTTGTGTTTACTGGCTTATATCTCCTTTTAATGATCTGAGATCATGTTACAGTGCATGATTCCTGTTAAATTGCAAACATGATTTCTTCTTCTTCCAGCCAGAATGTTTAATTATTTCGGCTAGAGAAATTTCAAGGTCACAAAGAAAACTGCAGGACATCACTATCAACACAAAATGTGTTCTCTGCATATTGTATAAAAGCTTCATTCAGGAAAAGGAACAATTGCTATCTTATTTTGTACGTGAATAAAATGATGATTACTTGTATGCCTTATTTGATGTATTTGTATTTACCAAGTAACTACTGAACAGCTACACACAGGGGGTTCCCGCCTCATGCCAGAATCACAGGGCTTTATTTGGAATAACATCAATGGTAATGAAAGGGTTTGCTGTGTATCTGTTGTTAATTGGGCATGTGGGTTTATATGGTTGCACTGCAGGAGGAATTAGAGTTTGCAATGACCTTGGTGATACATTAGGCCAGCAAAGGCAAAGTGAATGAAGTTTCACCAGTTTCGATCCCTCCTTTGCTGAATGAAGCTTTTCTTCTCCAGTTGTGCTTCGTGGATACAAAATGTTTCAAAGGAGCGACTTTCAAATCGCTGGAGATTTTAAGGCCTGGTGTGGCGGGCGGGGGTGGACACAGAATATTGTCAGTCATAGGGAGAAGAGACGAGGCCAGAGGGGAGGAGAAAAGGGAAAGGAAGGGGACAAGGTGGTGAGAAGGAAAGCAGCAGAATGAGGAGAGATGAGCTAGTAATGTGCCGCTGGAATTATGTAAAAGGCGTGCGTGGGAGAAAGAGAGAGGGAGCCAGAGAGAAGGAGCATGAGGGAGAGATGGAGAGTGCTAACAGATTCATATTCCCAGATGCAAGGAGGTTATCACTGATCTGATGGAGAAGTGATTCAGGGAGGCAGAATATGCAGGAAAGGTGAACAATATCGAGGGAGTCGTTCATCTAGGTACCGCATGACGCTGTGTTCTTGTTTTTTGTGCCTTTGCTCCTTGCACCCGTCCAGCGACTCCCTCTGTAAGGTAGCAGGTCATGTGCGCGGCCGCCGCTGGTTTTCATTCCGGTGACATACGGGCGCGGTGGCCAATCAGCTCACACACAGAGCCCCGCGACGGCCTTCCCATGCAGGCGCCCATTTTCGCTCCTGAACGCTTCACCCCACACTTTGAATGCTGCCGATTGCTAGCACTTGTCTGACAGAAGGCTGTGTCGGTATGTCACGCTGAACCGGTGTTAATACACACTCTTCCTCTGTCGCTCCCGCCATCCTGCCGTCTTCCAGAAAGAAGAATGAGCCCCAATTATGGATATCAGCTCCCGAATTAACCCTGCTATCTCTTGGCCTTTTATTGTCACTGCCCTTTTTCCTCTTCCTCACCTGGCCCGTCTTTTGCGCTCTCTCTCTCCCTCAGAGCACGCTCGCGCTCGCCGCAAGAGCATAGCTACCGGGAAGCAGCCAAGCATGGAGACCCCTCCCACTGCCCCCCCTCAACCCTTCCGACAATCCGTGAGTACCTCTCCCTCCTCACCTCACTGCCTGGCATCCCCTCCTTCTCGCTCCCCCCATCCCATCTCACACCACCCTCCAGCCAGTGGGCTCTCTTTCCCTTTCTGACCCTCTCTCCTTCCTTCACCTGCCCTCACTGCCACAAGAAAGCAATGGGTACCCCCCCTACCTAACTGCACCCCCCCAGCCTTCTCTCTCACCCTCCTTCTCTTTCTGGCTCTCTTCCTTTCTCATTAATGGGTATTGTAACCAGAGTGTTATGGGGTCAAATCCAGGACTTAGACATTGTGTCACACCCCTGTCCCCAAAGGGGTAGATAACCAAAACCAGTGCAGTGGGATTTAAATATGGCAATCTTTTATTTATGCTGCAAACGTGATACATTCCTTCAGATTTGGTCGTACGCCACAGACGGACATTTCAGTTTGGCATCTGCATCCATTAACCAGTTAGCACAGCTGCCAGTCTGCAGCTGAGCCTGATCTTAGTCACTTTCTCAAAGTTAATTAAAGGAAACTCCACAGTGCAGTGAAGAGGCTGCATAGCGATCAGAAAGCCACTGGGTGAAATTCAAGCTGGAAGACAACACTTAAGCCTGACACTTAAGTCTGGCATTTTACAGGATTTGCTGCAGTGAGAGCCTAGCTGCCTGCTTCCTGAACATGTTTACGATCAATTTAAGGGATTTGCCGCAAATCGCACCAGATGACAGCTATGGTCGTATACTCATGAAATGGGGCAATCAGTAAAGTAAGAGATAATTAACCAATGGATAAAACATATTTTTTAATCTTGCATATGAAATGTTACAAATATGATTGAAGTCTACATTCAGCTTAATATGATTGCAGTTCTTGCAATTCTCAGTATCCTTTCCTGCTTTCATTGAAGTGTGGGAAATTATAGGTGTGTCCTAGAATGTGTTATTTCTGGAATGAATGTAGAATGATTTTGAATGGATTTAAATCAGTTTTACAATGTACAAAGAATAGGGCAGAGTGGACAATTACTCCACTCTGTTTAAAGCCCAGCCACTAATTGATAAAAAAATTATGAGAATCTAAGAAGCCGTTTCATATGTGCACGTCATCACATCGAATGCCCGAAAAGCAATTGGTCTCCCACCCACGTCTGTGGAGATACTGCCTGAGATAATACTTACCAAACAGGTTTATATTTTCAATTGTGATTAAAATAGCACTTCTTTTACAGAACAACATATAGGGGGGAAAACTGACTCTTCATTGGGTTATACTGCAGGTGCTATTTTAGTCTCGTATTTCCATCCTGAGGGAAGCAGCATGCCTGAACCCTGTAGGTGGATCTTACGTTCTAGCCATAGAGCAGCACTGCCATCTGTTGATTGGTTTGGGGTACTGCAGATTTAGTGACTAACTGAAAAAAATTGCCATCCCCGAGATAATATACTTCTTTTTAATATTTCCCTCATTTTCCACACACCTTTCTTGTCCTTCTTTTTGCATGATTATAACGTGATCTTTCTTTTTTCCTTTAATAGTCCATCCCTGACTTTGTACTCTCTTTTAATTGTACCTTTTTCAAATAATTATCATGCTTTTTCTCTGTATAATTCCCCAGTATGCGTTTTCTTCACCCCCCCCCCAATCCTGTACACCTCCCTCATCACTTTCCTTTCTTGTTTGTGGTAGTAGCCACACCTGAATCTAACCCCCTCCCCTGTGTCATCCTTCCCCCAGAGTTTTCTCAGCAGAAGGTTAAAAGGCTCCATCAAGCGGGCCAAGAGTCAGCCCAAACTGGACCGCACCAGCAGCTTCCGCCACATGATTCTGCCTCGCTTCCGCAGTGCCGACCAGGACAGGTACAGAACCTCTGCTCTCTCTGGGGACGGCACCATCTACCGTGTGCCCTGGTCATCCTGGCTGCCATCTGTTCTTTAAATAAGTTTTAAGAACTGGCATCACAGAATCTCCTTTAATGAGTTTGTGTGGGTGTGTGCTCCAGATATACAATGTGATAAAAACCTGTTATTTTAACATTGTGGGGACCATTTTTTCGGTCACCACAAGGGGAAATTCTGCAATCAGAAAAACTAAAAATGCCAAATGTCTTGTATTTTACTTGGTTACTTATGGGTAAGGTTAGGACTGGGTAGGGGTTAAGGTTGTCACTGTTAGGATTGGGGTTTTGCCTATAGAAATGAATGGACGGTCCCCACAAAGATATCAATACAAGTCTGTGTGTGTGTGTTTTCTGGACAACTGGCAAGGTCCCACTGATCTGGAAACAGTTTTCTGTGCCTTAAGCTACTCCAGCTTGTGAACCAATATTGGCAGACTGATTTTAGAGCACAGTCAAACGTGAAGGCCCGTGTGTGTGTGTGTGTGTGTGTGTGTGTGTGAGTGCATGTGATGGACTGGCTTCCTGTCCAGGGTGTTTTGGTTGTGCCCCATGCTACTTGGCATAGGCTCCAGGCCCCTCCTACAACCTGTACTGTATGAGTTGCTGCAAAATGGATGAATTCATGTGCTTGGATATTTATAAAGGAGTTTGGAATGGTTGGGAGTGCACTGAGAATGATAAAATGGAGTGCTGGTAGCAGATTGGGCTGGGTCCGTGTCCCCTGAACACTGTCCTACCTTCTATATCGTCTTCATCCCATTACTTATTTGGTTTTATATATTTGATGTATTAACATGTTTTCTGGAAAACTGGCAAGGTCCCACTGATCTGGAAACAGTTTTCTGTGCCTTAAGCTGCTGCAGCTTGCGAACCAATATTGGCGGACTGGTTTTAGAGCGCAGTCAAGCGTACAACTTCTGTGAAAACATGAAGGCCCATCAATGCTCCCGTGCTTTTGCTCACCCCTTGACCCTCCATACCTCTTATACTTTTCCGTAAAGATAGCAGACCTATCTGCCTGACGTCACAGTCCAGTGTGACTGGTTATATCGCTGATGCAGACCTGTATCCCTTCCCATAATTCAGTGCTAACAGAACAATTAAAGCTGAAGTGCTTATCATGCCTATAACAGCTGTGGCCAGTTTGGGCCAGAGGGAAATTAAGCAGACACACAGGGAGGTGAGCTGGAAGCTTTCATCAGTGATGTCTCATTGAAAGGACCAGCTTCCCCCTGCTTGGTGTCCCGTATTTTCTGGTAGATACTGTAGGTATCCCTGACATGGTATGAACCATTGCACACCTAGACCTCCCGTTCGATGGGTTCTGGGATACCCTCCCCTGTGTTTGCCAGGGGCAAATCATTTCCAGTAATCTCGATAAATGGATGGGTGTCCAGCACTGAAACATCATCAAGGCACAGGAAGCCTTTTCTGGAGCCCAAGTCAGATTGAGTGCACTTGTGTTTATGGTACTCTGTCCCCTTCCTGACCTCGGAAAAGTAAACTATTTTCAAAGTTAAAACAGCCACTCAGAGCTTATTTTCTTGAAGTTTCCTTTAGATGGGTAGGATTACCCAATCAGAGGGCTAAGCACATTTCCCCTACGATTGGTCCACAAAGACAAAGTATGTGGGTCAAGGATATTTTAAGTCAATCTTGTGCAAGACTAGCAGTCTCCCCAAAATACTGAGAACCGCTGCTGCTGATTTCCCTTTCAAATTGGCTCACTGGGGACCGTGCCTCGCTGCTGATGTCACTGCGTGGTATTGCATGGTAAGGTGCATGGCCAAGCGTTACTGATGTGAGAATAATCCAAATATATATTTTCACTGGAAAATATTATATATTACTGGAAAAATACTTTTACCAATTCTGCAGTTTAACTAGTGGCACGTAAGTGGACCTTTAATTGCAGATCTTAACTGAAAGATCTATACAATTCAACTAGTATCTACCCTTCTAGGTATGAGATATTGCAGCCAAATGGGGTCTGCTTCTCTACTTCTATGATTTCTATGCATATATGCCTACTGTTCAGGTAGTGATTTGCTGTCATATGACTGATGTCTTTGATAAAAAAAGATGGCCTAAACACTGCCTTAAACTTCACCTTAAACGAGTACCAATCTTAATTTTCACAGCTAGTGGATTCATTAACAGCTGAACCTGCCCCTTTCAAAAGAAGGTAGCTATATAAAAATTAATTTAAGTCATGGCTTGTTAAACCACCAGATTTAATACACATACAAAGTAAATCATATAATGTAAGATAATGACTCCTGTATTTTCCAAAACCAAAATCTAGTCAACTGGGGACATTTGTTCAAAACAAGAAGTAAAACTTCTAAGTCTGTTTAATCATTCTGTCATGGGTTCTATTTTATTTATTTATATATATATATTTTATCTGCTTGTTTGTTTGTTTATTTATTTATTTACGTTCTTGTTTTGTTTTACAAGTGCTTTCTTATTTACAAGTCATTGTAAATAAGAAACTGTTCTTAATGCTTCGCCTGGTAAAATAAAGGTGAATGCATGAATGAAACTCTGACACTTTAAATAAATATATATTTAAATTAAAACAGCATCCCCCTTAGCTTCTTTATGTTTATAATGACGATTGATTTTTTTCATGGAAACATAATTAGAATGACTGGCATGCATTCCTACGCATAGGTGTGTAATATGCAATTCACTAATGCCATAATAATAATAATAGTAATAATAATAATAAAAATAATCTGGAGCTTATCCCAAGAGAAGGTGCCAGAATGTATACATGCATCCTTCTTTCAACCACTTATTCCCTGAGGGTCGGGTGGGGAGGGGGGCTGGAGTCTGTCCCAGACAGCACAGGGTGGGGATGCCAATATGTAAACATATGAGGTCATAGAATTGGATGCCCTTGGACAGGGGACTTCTGCGGCCAAATCAGATCCCCTGCTTTGACTTGTGTGCATATCTAACCCCAGCCCATGAAACAGGCCCGTGGCTCCTCTGAAGGGACCTCACCGCACACGCGTTACACAGGGCGAGCCGTTGCCCGCTGCACGAGGCATCAGTAGCTTCATGCGCTCGTCCGGTTCTCCGGCGGCAAAGCCATTAAAACGATAACGTGTCAGTAGGATGGACTTTGGATGTCTCCAAGGCTATGTCAGTCCCAAAATAAAATAAACAAAAAATATATAGTTTATATATATATATGGTGTTCTCATTAGGGCCAACAGAGAACAGAAATGCCTCCTTAAAAAGCAGGATAAAAGACAGCGCCGATTACCGTGAGGCTGGATAACAAAGCCAGGAAAGAAGCACAGCATCCACCTCTAACTGCAGCCATTATAACGCTCAGGGGGGACCTTGGCAAGGTGGCGGCGGCCGCCTGAGCCTCGCTTTCGCGGCGGCTCTTTGTGGGTCTAATGGCGTGTGGGGAGGAAGCAGAGGCTGAGAAAAACGAGGTGCCGCTGTGGTCCGTGGTCTCAGGCGACGTCAGCTCCAACGGAGGATAAGGAAAGCGGCCCTCATGGTTTAGGGCTGCTTTCCCTGCCACTCCCTGCTCCCCATCCAGCACGAGGCTGTCAGCGCTGCTGTAACATCCCCTGGATATCCTGCAGATCCAGCCTCTCCATATCCGTCTGTATTTTTAGACCATTTTCCCCCCCCACTGTATGTCCACTTTCTGGAACTGTGTCCCGCACAGTATTTGTGCTTGAGATAATTGCTGCCTGCATTAAACTGTTATAAGCCTGAGATTTCCCTATTAGAGTTAAACGGGTGTGCTTTGCTGGGTAGCAATATTGCCTCACACTTGCAAGGCTGGGGAATTGAAGCATCCAGCTACTCTGATTTTCTCCTGGGGTGCAGTGACATGCAGTTAGGTGAACTGCCTTCTCTATATTGGCCAGTGTGTATGTCCTCTGATGATCCTGTCCAGCATGTCCCCCGCCTCATTCCCCCTTCCGCTTGGGATAAGCGCTAGACTCACTGTGACTGGATCAGTGATATGGAGGGCAGATGGGCTCCAAAGCTTGAATATGTATATTCCCATCACATTTTAAATGCATCTGCATGATGATATACATGCAGTGTTGCTGCTGGTGTGTAGGGACTCTTACTGAGTGGAATTCTCTGGTTATTTCCTTTTTTGGTGTTACTGGCTAAATACTAGTCACCAACCAGCTTTGCATTACGCGTTTGACTGAGTGACTAATAGTGAGGATTTAAACTGCCCTGCTTTCTTATTGTTCTGTTCCAGCAAGACCTTAGATGATGCACTGGAGGATATTATGGTGTCGTCTGACGATGCACGCATGGCTGCTCTCCAGCTCGATCCCCCGCTCCCCCAGCAGCACTGATCTCTGCTCAGCTGTTCCCTCAAGTCGCTGTAATGAGAGATTAGTGTTGCTAAAGGTTGTGGGAAAGGGGGCGTGGGCTGGACAGGAACCAGTGCTTCGTTAGAGCTGTTCGATGCGGGGTTTGGGGGATAGGTCACCGAAAAATAGCCATGTTCCCAACTCGTCGAGAGTAGACTAACTTGTGAAATACCTACATACTTAGGTGTGACGTGGTCGTTGTTGTGTAGGATTACTCACTTTTAATGATGCGATGATACAGATCATTGCAGGTGAACTCGTTCTATTTCAGGATTATCCGTCCTACACGTGTTTATAGATGGTGTGTGGAATGCATTCGCTCCTGTAAGACCACAGGGCCGTGATGCTATAACTTTGTGCTTAATATCTCTGTCCTGTTCTGTCAGCTTCCCTGCAGTTTCCGTTTAATTCTCCTAGCTGCCTCATTTAACACAGTATCTCTCTCTTTCTTCCCTTCTCTGAGCCGCTCTTGCAGTTTACATAACAACTTGATTTCCTCTGATAAGCGTCTCTCTTTCTCTCTCCCTCCCTCTTGCTACCTCTCTCTTTCTCTCTCTCTTCCTCCCCCACTATTCTCCTTTTATTTCTCTTTCTGACTCATTCCTATAGGTTTATTTTTAACTCCCCCCCCCTCCATCCCTCACTCTCTCTCCTGTCTGTGTTGCATGCCCAGATGCACATATCAGAAGTGAGTGTGGCTTAAAGCACTGACACGGGGAGTCGTCAGTCGTCGGGCACGGACGCGACGGGGGCCACCATAGTAGGAGATATCTGTCTGTCTGTCCGTATCCTCTGCGTTCTCTGTGCCGTGCAACTCGCTGTCAGTCCTCCTCTCTCGGTCCGGCGTGCTCCGTCCGCGCGTCTCCGCGAGAACACGGGATCCACGCGTTTCGACTGTCCCATCCGCTTAGCGTTTCTGTCAGTCATCGCCGGTCTCGCTGCGTAGAGACAGCCAGCCCTCATCTCGCTCCTCCTATGCCAGCCCGCAGCTGCACAACGGATACGATATCCACTGCCGTGTCCGTTCTCCAATCGCTCCCACATTACGGGCGAACTCAGTCCCCGGCTTGGGCTCCGTTGCTGAGCTCACAGGACGTACCACCTGGGGTGCCTAAAGTCCTTTGCAGCCGGGCTTCTTGCAACTAATTCAGCTGAGCTACAGCAACGGATTGTCTCCAAAGATGCAGTTCTCTTCCTGGAAAAGCAAAAGGTGGCCAATTTCAATTCCTGCCGAATCCTTCACTGTTGCATAATTGATGGTTTATTTGCAATCATTTGTTCTTCCTGTGCAAACTCCATGTCTATAAATGGAAGCAATGACAATAAATAAAACAGTGAAATATAAAATGTATTTTGCACTTGCTTGGTAATATTATCTTCTCCCCATTTAAGTTGCGTTGTGCACCAGAATTTGTTCCTCTTGACGGCGAAATCGAAACATTTCAGGAGCATATGAGTGTATGTCTTTCTCATCTAATAAACCAGCGATTTTTCCCATTTTGGAAAATGGGCACTATTATCCAGCCACCAGGAAGATCGGTGGACTGCGGGGCGTAATCATTCAAGCTGTGGATGGACTGGTCGTGTTTCAGCTCCTGCGTCTGTTAGCATGAGGAGACAGAGAGGGCTGTTTAGCCATCTGCAGCACGGCGTCTGTCCAGAGACCCGGATGTGTGGGCTTTCGCTGAGCAGAGGCCCAGATATCACTCTGAGAAGAACATCCAACTGTACAAAAGACTCCAGTCAATTGTTCGCTAATGAGCATTGTGGGCGCATAACCAATATACAGGGATTGTTTTAACCTAAACCGAATACACACATTGTAATCCATTGTAGGAACCTGAAACTTTAATTTACATAATCCATGGATCATCCGTGATCTGCTAGGGATATCCATCCATCCATCTTTCATACAACTTATTCAGTGTAGGATCATGGTAGGCCTGAAGTCCATCTCAGGAAATACAAGGCACAAGGCATGGGTCACTTGAACGAGATACCAGTCCATCACAGGGCAAACAATCACACATAATGGGTGTCCACCTATCTGTCTGTTTGTTAATAATAGCATTTAAAGAGGTGCTGTAATTGACTGGATGTACAGTATTGACTTTTCATATGCTCTTCCTCTTGTTAGTCTTTGTCACGGTGTGCTTCCGTCATTACAGCGCGTTTACCTGCGTCCCTGCCTTTCTCCATCAGGACTCGCCTAATGCAGAGCTTCAAGGAGTCCCACTCCCACGAGTCCCTGCTGTCCCCCAGCAGCGCAGCTGAAGCTCTGGACCTCACATTGGACGAGGACGCCATTATCAAACCTGTGCACTCCAGCATCTTGGGGCAGGAGTACTGCTTTGAGGTTCGTGGCCTGGTTGCCTTGTCCATGGACTGATGTCACAGGTGCTGTAATCATTTGGGATGCCACTCACTGGAATCATTCCAAAAGTGGCCCAGTCACAGTCATGTCCTTCCAGTACCTCTGGTTAATTCCTGACTGAAGGATGTCATCATGATCGTTTGCCCCTTTTAGTTTTTTCACAACTATTCACATCCTCATCACTCTCCTCAGGTGACCACAGCATCAGGGACCAAATGCTTTGCCTGCCGCTCGGCCGCTGAGAGAGACAAATGGATCGAGAACCTGCAGAGAGCCGTCAAACCCAACAAGGTGAGAGACGGGGAGGTCGTTCAGGCTGGGACGTGGCCCCTGTCTTCTCCTGCCTCCTTATTTAATCTCTTTATTTAGATGTCAGCATTTCTTCGTCCCTCATCTACCTTTCCGCAACCAGATTTAATTAAAAATATGAAAATACTAAGGGTTCATGTCTTTTATCAATAAATTGCTACATGCCATTTTGGTCCTGTCACAAACCACAGCGTCACACACATATCAGTAGATCTGGCTGCCAGAAGAATGACAGGACCTCCATGGCTTACTGACACTAGCATGATTCATGATTCTGTAGAGACTCCCCACTGTTTGCTTGTTAAGTCTCCCCATTATAAATATTTTACATTTCAGATTAGTCTCGTTAGATGAGGCTCGTTAAATGACAGGAATCTTACACAAGGTTAAAAAAAGACGATGGGATCAAGTCATGCTTCACTTTTTAACAATCTTAATAGAATATTATATCCCCGTTTAAAACACTGTTTTAAAAGCCTGTAACCCTGCAGATACCAAGGACATTCACATGTTCCTACTTCAACCCTCTCTGTCATGTCCTTCTAAAGTATGGTCACCTCTATATATGTCAATGTGGACCATCACATCTGTCTCATCTTGACACCGGATATATCACCCCCCCCCCCCCATCACAGGACAATAGCCGGCGGGTGGACAACGTGCTGAAGCTGTGGATCATCGAGGCGCGCGACCTGCCCCCCAAGAAGCGCTACTACTGCGAGCTGTGCCTGGACGACATGCTGTACGCGCGCACCACCAGCAAGCCCCGCACCGACACCGTCTTCTGGGGCGAGCACTTCGAGTTCAACAACCTGCCCGCCGTCCGCAACCTGCGCCTGCACCTCTACAAGGAGACCGACAAGAAGAGGCGCAAGGTCGGGGCTCCGGGGTGCCTTCTCTAGGCCACGAGACTGTACTTTCCCTCCAAAACGTTTTATTTCTCCAGCTATTCAGCTCTAAAGCTCCCCATTCAAAGATGTGATAACTACTCCCCTGCCGTCTAATTCATGCCAATTATCTTCTCGCGTACAGACGCCAGTCCTGCGGCCTTCAGCCATAGTCTTAATTAAAATGTCAGTGTTGTCATTTTACGCGGTTAGTTACATGAATTACCCCCCCCCCCTCCTCTACCTTGGGCTAATGTGTCCCAAATGCCGCTCCCCCCTTAGGAGAAGAGCACCTACCTGGGTCTCGTCAGCATCCCCATCTCCAGCATCACTGGCCGGCAGTTCGTGGAGCAGTGGTACCCAGTGATCCAGCCCAGTGTCCTAGCCAAGACAGGGGGTGTGGGGGGCGGCAAGATCATCAACGCCTCACTGCGCCTCAAGTCTCGCTACCAGACCATGAGCATCCTGCCCATGGAGTTGTACAAGGAGTTCGCCGAGTATGTCACCAACAACTACCGTACGCTCTGCGCCGTGCTGGAGCCCCTGCTCAGTGTCAAGAGCAAGGAGGAGGTGGCCTGTGCCCTGGTGCACATCCTGCAGAGCACGGGGAAAGCCAAGGTGGGCCTCTCTGCGCCGATGCATGGAAAGGCAACATAGAACCAAATAAAGAACCAAAAGAGAACCAAACCAGGTCAACACCACTCTGATACGGTCGCTCGCATATAATATATTAAACACTGAGCCTAGAGGAAGCCTACGTAACAGTGAATATATTCATCCATCCATCTGTCTATCCATTTTCTGTATCCGCTTATTTATTACGCGGTGGCTGTGGTCCTGGAGCATATCCCAGGCAGTACAGGCCACCAGGCGCTGGGCACCCTTTGTGGAATGACAGTCCACTGCAGGGCACAGACCGTAAAATATATGCAGCTGAGAATATCTAAATTACTTGCAATACATCACATTAGGCCTGTAGGAAGGCCGAGTAGAGAATGCCAGCTGAAAAGACAGCGAATTAATAGGCTAAAAATGTAGTCAGTTTGTGCTGGCACACTGTTGTGCTGGTGTGCTAATCTCCCCTGCTCTCTGGCCGTTCCAGGATTTTCTGTCCGACATGGCAATGTGTGAAGTAGATAGATTCATAGACAGGGAACATCTCATCTTCAGAGAGAATACACTGGCCACCAAAGCCATAGAAGAGTACCTCAAGCTGATTGGACACAAGTACCTCAAGGATGCCATAGGTGAGGACTGTTCTGACACACAAAACTTCATATGCGGGACTTGTGTTTTGGCCCTTTTTTGCTGACAATTCTACTGTTAAATTGTCTGTTTAGGCGAGTTCATCAGAGCCTTGTATGAGTCAGAGGAGAACTGTGAGGTCGACCCAATGAGAATCCCGCCTTCTGTTCTTCCTGATCATCAAGCTAATCTCCGCATGTGCTGTGAGCTGGCACTCTGCAAGATCGTCAACTCCCATTGGTCGGTGGTACTCTTATATTCTATTTTAACTGTTGGATTTTCACAAAAATACATATGGTGATTTCAACATTCTATCCATTTTGACATATTTTTTGTGTTTAGTTTCACGATTCCAAGTGATAATTCGCTGTTGAATATAATTTTGAAAAATTTCTACTTTAATGTTTAACAAAACCAGTAGCTCTTGTGCCCGGTTGACCAAGAGCTTAATTAAACATGCCATGAATTCATCTTGCATGGTGTTTAAAATGTGGTGAAGCAACGCCTGATTAGGTTTCTAAGGCACCTACCTAGGATAGCAAGACTGCCTCTCCCTGAGAAGAAGGTAGAAGCACCTTTAAAAATTTGCAGGCCAAGAACGGCATGAGAGCCCATACCTTTCTAATAGTTCGTCTGACATTTAAAGGAGCGAATGAGTGCCTCCTGAAACTGGTGGCTTATTTTAGTCCAGAGTCTGTGATGATTTAGGCAGAAAGGTCACCTCCTCGCTCCCCTCAGCCATTTGTGGCTCAGTTCCGTCCATTTAATTGTCGCAATAGAGTCCGTTTCCCAGTTGGTACACTGCACTGATCCTTAAGATAAACATTGTGGGAAGTTTCTGCTCTCATCAACAACCTTGTTAAACTAAAGGGGTCAAAATGCATTGTTGTGCCGTCCGACTTTTACTTTCTGGCCAGAACTCAGAAATGATCCAAGTGGATGCTGAGATGAGTAGGACTTTCTTACACCCTAAATTAATGAAATTAATTATTCATGCATATTTATCAGAGTACATCCAATATTCTTAAACGAAACACCCATTGTAAGTAATTTCAGTAAGAGCATAAGCCAAGAATCTAATGGCAGGTCATTCAACAAAGCAAGTTCATGTCTTTCCCATAATGCCCTGTGCCAGACCTATTTTGTCTGTCTATATATATTCAGTCTAAGTAGGCGAAGTCTAATTGAGTCGTTATTTTTTAATGCCCCTTCGCTGAACTAATGCCTGCAGCAGATTTACCCCCCTCCCCCCATTTTAATCTCCCCAGTGTTTTTGTACAGCTATATATAATACAAAAACAAAAATGCCCCTCTTCCTTACTTACCGTGATGTTATCATTTTTGTCGACCCCCCCATCCCACCCCAGCGTGTTCCCACGAGAGCTGAAGGAGGTGTTCGCCTCCTGGAGGGTGCGCTGTGCGGAGAGGGGGAGGGAGGACATCGCCGACCGCCTCATCAGCAGCTCCCTGTTCCTGCGGTTCCTGTGTCCCGCCATCATGTCGCCGTCCCTCTTCAGCCTGACGCAGGAGTACCCCGATGAGCAGACTTCACGGACCCTAACCCTCATCGCCAAGGTGGTGCAGAACCTGGCCAACTTCTCCAAGTCAGTGTCCTTTTCTGAGTCCTTGGGATCTATCTGTCTGTCAGTCTGTCTGTCTGTCTGTCAGTCTGTCTGTCTGTCTGTCTGTCTGTCTGTCAGTCTGTCATGCTTCCTCCAGTGCCATGGATATAAAATGTTAGTAGCTCTATTGAAGCAGCCATATCTTTTGTATATTTATTTCTCCATCCATCCATCCATCCAGATCAACTGATGTGTCTACTTAAGGGACTTCATTATTGAATATAATGATAACAAACAATATGCGGGCGGACAGGGTGGACCACACTGATATAGAGAATATAAAAATGTTTAGTACAAGATAATCACGTGATATGTCTTATGGGCATAATGGACTTTAAAAACATGGGAATAAAGTATAATACATATTAAGGGACAAAGCATGGAAACTTGGTATATATGCAGTTCCTCCATCCATCCATCCATCCACCCACCCATCTGTTTTCAATTATTTGTCCAGTACATCTTTGCCTATAGTCAGTCTATGGTGTGCCCTGTTCATAAATTTCTAGTGACTCCTGGCGACACAAGGCACAGCACGCCCAGGATCGGACCCCAGTCCATTGCGGAATGCCATCACAGCTCATTCCTCATATAAACACCTGCCTTTGTTCAACACTCTCCTTCCTTGCTCTCCGGCTTCTTCCTCGCAGGTTCGGCAGCAAGGAAGAGTACATGTGCTTCATGAACGAGTTCCTGGAGATGGAGTGGGGCTCCATGCAGCAGTTCCTGTACGAGATCTCCAACCTGGACAGCGTGAGCAACGCCGGCGGCTTCGAGGGCTACATCGACCTGGGCCGCGAGCTCTCCATCCTGCACAGCCTGCTCTGGGAGGTGATGGCACAGCTCAGCAAGGTAGGCAGAGAGCGTGCCGTGCCGCTCGCCTTACCCATGACAGATGTGTTGATATGTTCTCTGATGTTCAAACTCTGCTTAGCAGTGGGGGGGGGGGAGTGTGCCAGGCCGGTGGATTTGGAAAGCAGGGTTGTTTCTAACCTTTGCGGGGGGGGGGTGGGGGGGGGGGGTGCAGTGTTATAGATGTGAATGATTCTGTACGCTGTCCAGTGATGCCATCCGGCCTGTTTGAAATACGCCTGAATCGAACATCGTGTGCTTTGTTATGTGTGAGCGGTACAGCGTAAGCGCCGTGTACCTCGCTTCTTGGAGGAGTGTCTGTCGTTGCCAGTGTGATTCACAGCTATTATGGTCTTCCAATCTTTTAGACTCGTAACAGGTACATTAACTACATCACCCGAAGCTATAAATCACTATTTAAATGCACAGACACCAGCAGAACTAACAGCCGATAAGTATTACAAACACTATAAGTAACAAATTAGGTGAAATATGGTCAGTCTATATTTAGTGTCTAATATTATAATGTTATTACAATAATAGAATTTATTAAATTAATTTACATATTTATAATAATAATATACATGATTTTTCAGCTTCAACAGTCAAAATGAACCAAAACCTCTAATTGAAGCCCTTTTTTTTATAAACATATGATGCATAATAGAACCTCACAAGGTCATTTCATGTCACCAGTGGTGATAAATTGGATGCGTACGTGTCAGACACTGCACGTAACAGCCCCCCCCCCAACCCCCCACCCCCCCCTCGGCTCAGGATGCCATCATCAAACTGGGGCCCCTCCCCCGTCTGCTGAACGACATCAGCATGGCTCTGCGAAACCCCCACTTGCAGCGGCAGCCCAGCCACCAGGCGGACAGACCTCCCCCCGACAGACAGGCCGAGCGGCTCCTCTCGAGGCCCAGCTTCAACCGCGGCATGTCCTCCGACTTCCAGAGCCTCATGATGCGGGACCTCAACAGGTACCAGCCATAAGAAACGATGAGAATGAGACTGATTAGGGTGCAGATGGGAGGCGTCCTGTATGCATGCCTTCACACACTGAATCCAGTCAAGCACGGCTATATTCCCTCTACTTCCTTCTCCTCCCAGCTCTATAGACGCCACTCGCCTGCCTTCCCCGACTTCCGGCCTGTCCAGCGGGGGTGGATTATCCTCGCGGGCCGGCATGGGACTCTCCGACCGCGATCACCAGCACAGGGCCTCTAAAGACGTCTTCTACGTCACACGGCCGCCCCTGGCCCGGTCCAGCCCAGCCTACTGCACAAGCAGCTCTGACATCACTGAGCCGGACCCGAAGGTACCGCTTGACCGTATAACTGCAAGCCAGCCTTGGCTGTGACATGGGTCCAGGGCTGGTTATTAAGTGTGTATTTCCCAGCAGAGACAGGGAGGAACCTGTTCATAGAACGTGCCTGTCGTTTTATTTATAGATTGTAGTAAAACAATCCCCCCCCCTGCCCCCCCCCCCCTTCTTTCAGGTTCTCAGTGTCAATAAAAGCGTGTCTATGATGGATCTCCAGGACTCCAGGATGAACAGCATCTCCAACCTCCAGTCAGTGGGTGACATGCTAAACTCCTCTCAAGCCTCCATCGCTGGTCTGGGCAGCTTCGGGGCCCTGGGCGGGGGGCTGCGTACCGGGGGGCGCCTGTCTGCCGGCTCCGGAGGGTCCAGCATGTCCGGCGGGCTCCGCATGAGTCAGATGGGGGCCACCACCGACTCCCTATCCCAGCAGCAGCAGCAGCAGGCAGCCGCTCTCCGGTACCCGCTCTCCTTCCAGAACCCCCTCTTCCACCTGGCCACCGACGGGCCCCAGCTGCACCACCAACAGGGCCGCGGCCAGCTGCCCCCTCCTCTGCTCCTGGCCCCCGAACCCGAGGCCCCCAACTCCGGCTACATCCCACCCTTCGGCCACGGGGGCTTCTCCCGCAGTGAGGACCTGTCCACCCTGCGGCCCGGCGGCGGCAACCTGGGGCAGCCCAGCATGCTGCACTCACACAGCTACAGCGACGACTACACCCGGCAGAACCAGGCCGAGTTCGGGCACCGCCAGCTGTCCCTGCAGGTGCAGGTAGCACTCAGTGCATATAAGGCCTCGTCACACATTCTCACATATGCATATGAATTTTATTTATATATATATATTTTTAGTATATTTAATGCTGAACATGAATCGCATTTTTTCTTAATATCTAGGTGAGATCATTGCTCAATTTAGAAATCAGTATTAGGTTAATAATTACATGTGGCTGCTTGTTTTTTTTCCCTCCTTGAATTACTAATTCTTCAGGTCTTAAGTAATATATGACATGGTCTTTCACGGTATTTGGCTGGGCTGTTTTTTGTGGGTATGTGACATGCAGCATCACCCGCGGGTTCAAATCTCACATCGGCCGATTCCGCCTGAACCGGCTGCATTTTTTCCGCACGCTTAACCGGCTGTGCTCGTGCTCCCAGGAGAACATCCAACAGCAGCAGCCGCAGCCCCAGTCTGGCACCTCCCCCTCCTCCCTGGCCACGCCCCCCTCCACCATCCAGCCCGTCCGGCAGAACTCCAACGCCGCTCCTCCGGCACAGCGCGTCAAATCGCAGCCCTCCCATCAGCTGTCCGTCGGCTCAGCCGCCGCCTCCACTCCCCCCACCAAGCAGCGGCCGCCCAGTGGGAACCTCCTCCAGTCTCCAGAGGCTGGGGGCTTCGGGAGCCGGCAGCAAGCGCCGCGGCAGCAGCTTTCCGTCAAGGACAGCCCGGCGCCAGGGCTGCCGCACCAGCAGAGCACCACCCGGGAAGGGCCCCAGGGCCCCCAGGGGCCACAGGGCGGCGGCACGCAGACCACCCCGCCATCTCAGCAGCCGCAGCAGCAGCAGCAGCAGCAACAACAACAGCAGCAACAGCAGCAGCAGCAACAGCAACAGCAACAGCAGCAGCAGCAACACCTGCTGAAACCATCTATCAGCAAACAGGTGCGTTCGGTGGCGGGGGGGGGGAGGGCAAGGGGAGCAAGAGGGGGCGGGGGGGGGGGCAGGAGCAGAACAACCAGGGCGCTAATCACATTAGCATCGCCTCGTAGCTTCAAAATCAGCAAGGGTCTAGAATGTTGTCCGCTGACAGTCTTCCCCTGAATCGTGCCTTTTTGTGATAAGACATAGATGGCATCACTAGCAGTAATACTGTCAATGTTGAGGGATTGTTAGCCTCTTGTTTGTAGGTCACATTCATTGAAACTGCGGTGTCTGTATTGACAATGAAAATGCATTTATTGAAAAAAACTTTTCAAACTTTTTTTTGTTTTGTTTTGTTTAGCGATGAGACCACTGGAAATGGGAAAACTGGCCATTTCAAATTTATTAATATGTTGTTTTGAATGCTTTGCAACGTAAACTTAAATGGAAAATTGCTATAATTCATTTATTCATTATATCACTATAATTCATTCATATTCATCATTTATTATTCGTGTCTGGGTGTCCTCCCGTTCTGCAAGTATCAAAAGTTCTCCAGAAAGAATGATGCTTTAATAAGGTCCCAGAAAACCTGGAAAATATTTTTACATCAGGATATTATTGATTTATATTTAATATATATTAATTTGAGTCATCTCACATCTTAACTGGTCAACCAATATTCCATTTCCATCCATCCATCCATCCATCTTATAACTTTATGCTTATCAGAGCCGCAGGCCATTTTCTTTCATTTATACATAATTTAATTACTTATTATACTTTCTAAATGTGGCTGAAAAGAGCAAAGTTAATAATGAATAAAAGGCGCAGCAGCGATATGATATCAGTGTAAACATGAAGCAGACGTGTCCCATTGTCTGGAAATTAGAGGTCAAGAAGAGTAAGAAGGAGTCTAAGAGGCAGAGCATCACCACAGAGAGATAAGAGGTGCGGGGGCTGCCGTGCCCCATCCACTCATGCGATAAACCCTCCCATTTAAGCGATCACTATCCTCCTCAGTGCTCAGCATAGTCCGGCCCTGTTTTGCCCTTATTCTCAGACGTCAAACGGCACTTACAGATTCGTTTTGTCAGGGATCACAGTGTTATCTATTCCGGGGTGATGGAAACGTGGCATTCTCTGATTTCATCATCCCCTTCTTACTCTGGCATTTCGTGTCGCGTGTCCCTTTCAGGTTCTGTGGTGTTCCCATTTGCCATGCCGGCTTTAACATGTTTGCGATGCCATTTATTTGTTTCCATTCACGTGTTCCGTGTTTCCATTGTGCACACTTTAAGCATTAACAGAACATGGGGGATATTGCGGGTAAGTACTCAGATAGTGTCACAAATAGAATTACGCACGACGATTTGATCCAGCTTATATGTCTTTGTTGTATTAGCCTGCTGTTCTAGAGCTGAGCTACTTTCTCACGTAACCAACATACCAATGGCAGTCTTATTGGTGTGGGATTTAAATTAAATGGCATCCTGCAGGTTTTATAAAAAAGATCTTTTATGAGAGCCTGTTGTATTGCTTATGAATCAACCAAGGGCTGAACTAATCCAGTTAAGTCCTCATATCACGAGTTTTCCATTAACTGTCTCGGTTGCCTTGCTTTTTCTGGATGAGATGATTTCCAAGCTCCATTTTGCTATTTGATTTTTATTGTACTGCACGCAGGGTTCACAGTCACCTTCTACACTCAACCCACCCACTCCGGCGTCAGAGCGAACTGTAGCCTGGGTCTCCAACATGCCCCACCTGTCCGCTGACATCGAGACATCGCGCATCGACCGGGAGGACTTTAAGCTCAAAGAGTACTCCAAGAGCATGGACGAGTCTCGCTTGGACAGGGTACATCTGCCCGTCAACCCCCTGGCCGCACCTCCCCCCAACGTTTCCTGAACCTCCTTTTTAAGCCATTTGGCACCGTGCATTGTCGCATTTAATGTGTAACGGCAGTTAAGATTTCAGAGGACGCCTTCTGTCTGCACATTCCGCCGCTCTATGACTCACTCGTATCACATTCGGATCAGCGATCGGTTTTCGATACTCTTTGGGTGCGAGTACTCTCAGGTTTCTCCCAGAGGCGTGAGTCACGTCCCGTTCAGAGGTGGCCTCTCAGTCCACCGCACAGGCATGAGGAGAACGCTCGACTTGTCTCCCAGAACTGAACAGATGGTGCCCGGGAACAGCTTCATGAATAATGTAGATATTAGCTTTAAAATCTGAACTGTGCCTATAATGACTCATAGAAAGCAAACAAACTTGACTGTTTTTCTTTTTTTTGTTTTGGACCAGTATTGTTTTGAGCGACCTAGTTAGAGTTAATGACGCACTCATCACCTCCGTGCCACCTGTTTTGTATGTACGCCTCGAAAAAGCACAGTACAGTAATTATAAGGTTTTTTTATGTTGTAATGTTTCTGTTATTTCGAGATACATGGCCTCTTTTTCTGCTTCACCCTCCATATGAGGTTGTGTCCTTGAAGGGCTTTTATCATTTTGTACCATCGCACCTAAAGCTGGTTCTGAAGGGGATAATTGCATTTGATTTAAGACAGAATGAATCTGAGTATATCCTATGATGTACTGGTCTATTATGACGTCTCAGTACCTTGGGGACTACCGGAATAAATCTTCACTATGTCACTGAGCCTCCAGAACGATGAACACAATGATCAAAAGCAAGAATGTGATAATGTCCTTCTGAAATGTCCTCGCCACCTTCGGGAGCCGCCAAACCAGGCCCCATGCTCACGTCCCTCCTTGTTTTCCCACCTCCTTCAGGTACGGGAGTACGAGGAGGAAATCCACTCTCTAAAGGAGCGCCTGATGATGTCCCACCGGAAGCTGGAGGAGTACGAGAGGAGGCTGCTCTCCCAGGAGCAGCAGACCAGTAAAATCCTCCTGCAGTACCAGTCCCGGCTGGACGACAGCGAGAGGAGGCTGAGACAGCAACAAGTGGAGAAAGACTCGCAGATTAAAGGAATAATCAACAGGTAAACGGGGGGATGGACGGTGACAAAAGGTGGAGGTAAGAGAAAGAGGGGAAGGCAGATGGGAGGGAAAATAACTACAACCAGTGCTTGGTTAGCGAATACCTTGGTTAACCACCATTTGCAAATATGATGGTGATAAAAATGTCACTTTCCAAATGACGCTCACATTGGTGACCAAATTTTGTAACTCTGACACCAACACAAGTCGGAGTGAGAGAGACCTTTGAAGCAGAATTTACAAAATGTTGTTGAAAATGTCTGCTTCTTGTAGGATAAAAGAAATTGAGTATGGAAGCTTGTAGAAAAGTCATACGCATAATCACGGTCACACCTAGGCTGCTGTGATTTTCACTTAGCAACCATTTCGCTTAAGGACCTGGTTGTTGGAACGGAACTCAGTAGCTAAATAAGGAGTTGTGGTAAAATGGACTCTATACACACTGTATATATACAGTAGATAACAGGGAAGCACATGTGACTTATTTGTACATATGGAAGGAGAACAATTATAAAAATGGCTTACAGTACCACTAATGTAGAGGCATGAGTCTATGGCAATAATCAATTTGATCTCTTTGTAGGTGAGATGCAGGACGTCTAGTAAAACCTGTCAATGAATATTTAACTGTCGATCTGTGGTGACACTAAACTGAAATGTTGCAAAGCTACCATGCAAAATGTATAATATAATGATGTGTGAAGCACAATCATCAGCTTCCTCAGCTTCTTTGTGAGATTTAAGAAAGGACATGCACTTATATATGGAAATGCAAGTAAACCAGTCATATGAAATAGATACGGGCCAAGCTGTGTCTTGTACGCCATGCATTAAATTAAAAGATTTAAATATTTTAGCAGTTTTACCCCTGGAGTACAAAACTGTAAATGTATATTACAATCAGATAGATCATTTCCCAATGGAGATCGGAAGATATGAGAAATGCAGCATTACCACATTCTCACTAAATTCCCGTTACCTAAGGGAACAGAAGAAATTCACAAGATATTTCGTAATAGCCTAATGTTAGGATGTTGATATTTACACAGTCCAAATATTTCAGTCCAGTTCTCATCTTTCCAAAACACAAACATGACACCAAATGCTGAGCAATTTGTGGCAGAGAGTTTGTCTACTTTTGGGTAGTTTTTAAATCAAGACCCTAGTGGCGAAGCCAGCCAGACACCCCAGACCCCTCTGTGGCTCTGCCTAAGACCCCAAGCTCTCCAGTGGCTCAACCAGTCCAAGACTCCAGGCTCCCCAGTGCATCAGCCATTGCAAGATTGTCCCAGTCACAAGTAGAAAGACAACATGTATCTGAAACCTCAGTTCAGGTTTAAGCAGAACAAAACACTGATTGTTGAAGTTTGAAGAACATCTCCGAAGTTTTGGTGGCAGATTCTCAGCTGGATGCAGCACAAGTACCTCCTCCTGACCAGTACAGAACCTGCCTGGTGCTAATGTAGGGCTGGGTTCTTGTCATTTTTCAAATCAGCCCCTACTATCCTACACAGTCCCCCTTTATCTGTGGTCTGTATAGGAAGAATCAGACTTGCAAGGAATTCTGTCTGTCCACATGGTTGTGGAAAGGCGGCTTGCAGACAGCTGGAATGAAATGTCAGACGACACAAGTAATGTGATATTCCAGTAAGGAACCGAAATGAGCCAACACGATACAGAATTTCAGTCACATCAGGTTTCTGAATGAAGTGTGTAGTGCACAGTCTTACTTGTGGTAGCTTAACTGTCATTGTAGCATTTGTTGTACACCACTGACATGGAATTATGCTGAGATATTCATATGAACCTCCCTCTAGATATAGATGCTGGTATAATCTTTTCAGTAATTTAGAAATGACTTATACATTTTTAAGAAATGGTGACCCTCTACTTGATAAGCAGTATAGAAGATTGGTGGATGGATGGATATTCCTAAAAAAGAACAGCTTTGCATGACATCTTCATAATAAAACCCATTTAATTAACACCCCATTAATGAATATTTAAACGATTAGCTAAAATTACACTCAGTCCTTTTAAAATACAGAAAGACAAGTGAAGTCATTAAAAAGATAAAAATTAGTGAGAAATAACTTTTCTTTGAGACAGATAAAGAAAGAGTGAATGTCAATTTATACACATTAATTATACTCAAATGGGTGTTTGATATGGATTTTCAATATGGATTTGTCATAAATGACAGTACTGAATACCACCATCAACCTTAGCAAATTATGTCGAGAATGTTCCAATGCCTTATGGATTCCTCACCTGGGCTGGCTGCATTTTGGTCGACATCTGCCTTTATGTGTGATACTACACAATCGGGTTCACACAGGGCTAGGCAGTAGGGACCGGCCATACCATTGATTTTCTTTTCAATCCAGTTTGATCCAAATACTGATATTCTGTACCAGTCTAGATGGTAAAATTTGCCCAGCTGGTGGGGGTGGGGGTGCAAACAATAATATTTGCCCTGGGTGGACTAAGGATAAAAATTTTCAGCCAGGGGTGGGGATGTACCACCAGATCAATAGCCCCATTTATCTAATCACTATCGCCGTGAAAGTCCTTCCCTTTCTCCCCCATAATGGGCGGCCCTGACTGTAGCAGGTCATATCCTGCTCTCTTTAATATTATAAACAATTATATTACCAGGTGAAACATTTTTGAATTGAATATATTTAATGTTAGAATTGATTTTCAAAATTAAAGTCAGATCGAAAGAATGATTATTTCAGTATCGATCTGCACATCTCTACTGAGCGCAGTACGTGTTGTTTTTTTTGAATATGTGATGGCACAGAGTAGCTCTTCGGTGCCAACACAGAATGAAAGCAGCACCAAACCAGTGAGAAATTAATGTGAATTCCATCTGTACAGAGGGTACCGCATGGATGGAACACATGACAATGTTACTACATTGTCATGTATTCACACATATAATCCATCTGTCCATCTTCCAGTCCAGCATAGAGTCAGCTTGGAGCCTGTCCCAGGAAGCAGAGGGCACAGAATATCCTGGACAGGATGCCAGACCATCGCAAGGCACACACTCAATCACACACCATGCGCAAATTAGTGATGCCAGTTCCTAACCGCATGTTTTGGACTGCGGGAGGACATGGGAGTATCCGGAGGAAACACATTAGCAATTATAAGTTGCAAAAAGTGCAGAAGTGTTTTCCTGCATCCATATCGCTAATATATTATGATGAAATAGCTCTCTGAATAAATAAATATTTAGTCGATGTTTCTGCTTTAAGCCTAGAGCAGTAAAAATATTTCAAACTGTTCAGGATTGATTAATTTGTAGTAATGCTCATATTTATATTTCATGACATATGTACAGTTACTTGTATTAGTATTGGATATTCCTCACACATACTTTTTCTTACAAATGTTTTTTATTTTTCCGGCAGTATATTTTCTGTAACGTTTCTTTCACACCCAGCTGTGCTGTGCGTAATGAGCAGTAAGATTTGCTGCAGCGCCCGTAAACCTGCATGGATAAATCCCATGTGGTGGTCAGGATAGAGACACGGCTTTAAATCAGAATCCCCCTCGGTTTACCGAATCTGACCCCCTATTACAAGGCAGTCTTGAATAACCATTACCCAAAAACACCTTTAGCTAAAAATAAAAAATAAAAAACAGTGACTTCAGAGTCATATTTACTGCTGCGGACAGAGATTGTAAAGGAGTGAAAATTCAGTACTATGATAGGCTATAAATAATAGTTTAATTATGACATATGATAGTTTATTAAAATAATTGAGATCGGGGTCCAAGCTCTGATGGATTCTGTTTTATTAGAGCCTCACAATGAGTCCTGCACACAAACACTTCAGCATTATGCCTTCATTAGTACAATGGGTTATTTATACAAACAAAACAATCATACTCACATAATGAGCTAATAGGTTCCAGGTGGGTCATCGAGATAATATCCAGTTGGTGCCATGCGTTCATGCATGGTCACATCCCCACAGGTGTTACACATACTGCTGTGCAATACCTCGCAGAAAATAACAAAATGCTTAAGAGGGCAGTGTTCTGAAGTTTTTTTTTCCCGATTATTATAGTTTTATTGACATTTCACCCTCACAATATGATATATTGTAGATCATCTGAAACCTCACAAAACTTCATGGATTCAGCATCATTGCTCACAAAAGTGATTAACTGATTTCTGCTACTGCCGAAAAACTTTGCCCAAGTCTGATCCTTCGCTTTTTGGTTCAAAGCTTTGCATGGTTTGGGGAACCGCCCCCCATTTGGTGATTGCATGGCTATGCGTTGAACGCTCTGTTCTTCTCCTCTAGGCTCATGGCCGTGGAGGACGAGCTGAGAGGGGGCCCGGTTCCTGAGCTCAAACCCCGGATGTTTGCAGATCAGGTCTGTTTTCTGTCTGCGCTTTGTCCATATGACAGCTTGGCTCGTGTCTCTGTCCCTCTGTTTTGACTGTCTCCCTTTTTTCCGGCTGTCTTGCTGCTGCTGCCGCTGGTCCGTTGGCCGGCTCTAGTGTCTCTCGTCGCTGTCGGTCCTGTGTTGGCGTTCATGCCGGCGTCCCTTCATCTGTGCGTGTCGATCAGTTTGGCTGAAAATGGCCTCACCCCCCTCCGTTTGTGCCGTGGTCCTGTTCCTTTCTCCGTATCTCTGTCCCTGTCCACTCCCTACCCACTTTAGGTTCTTTCTGTTGAAAGGTTTCTGTGTGCCAATATTAATCCATCTGTACGATGATTTTTCAGTGTGACATATGTCTTGTGCTAAGGGTTGACTGAATCCAACCTCAAAGCGTTTTGAACTTAACTTTCAATAAATAGATTTTAAACCTCCATATTTATTGTCATCATTTATTACCAAAATACACAAATAGTGCCTACTTAAACTCCAATCGCTTTGTGGCTGAATTGCCCTGTGTCTGTCATTTCCTTCACCAGATTCTCCAGTACCTCCTCACCTTTCTATCAAAGGTTTGGTCATCGGTCATCTCTCAATATCATGCGCCTGCTGTCTGTCCGCAAAAGCATACATCCGTGTCTCCTATAAGTAATAATTCCGATAGCTAGCATTAAAGTGTCCATTTCAATGAAAAACCAGCTTTGATAATGGATAGGTAAGTAGGAGCATAGACCCGCCGCACCACTAATCAGATGAGAGGCGTTTACCGTGACATACTGTTTTCCCCGCGCCGGAAAATGCTGACAGCGCAACATGGTTCTCTAGTGTGCGGGAAAGGCAGCCGGGCTCTCCCGCTGCTCCGGCACTTGCTGCTGGGCATCCATAAAAAGCTACAAGCAGGAGATTACTGACTCTGGCTTTAATTGGAAAGATGTAACTTGGTGAAGAATGCAGTGGCACTCAGTCCGTGAGAAAGATCTCAGTATCTCATAAGACTGTAAAGCTCTCGAGGAAACATTAAAAAATACAAAAAGTTTCATCTCTGGAACATAATAATTTTTCAGCATATAATGGGCACATATCAACCTGCATGTTTGAGATATATGCAGTAAATTAATATTTTTGCTTAATTTTAACATCAAATAATTTAGCCATGAATAACTTTTTATATAAAAACATAGATGTAAATTCCTTATGGAGCTCACCTGCCCCTGACGAGCTGTCCCAGTGTCTGATGTGATGGGTGTCTGTGATGTCCTGCTACTTTGTTTAGCCACTCCACTGACCTAGTCTGTGCTTATAAGCAGTCGGTCCTCCTGTGCTGTTTGTGTTCTGATGCACAATCACGCATCTTTCCCAGGAGTGTCTTTACCAGCAGGAAAACAGGGTAAGCAGGGTGACGGCATCTCCTCAACCAACTGATTTTTATTAGCTTAAGCAAAGGGTTGTTTTTTTCTGACCTCAGATGCAGATCACTTGTGCTAGAAGCCTATTACTGATCCTCCATATCTACATTAGTTTTTTTACACGCCTTAAAGTTTAACTGTTGACCCTTTTATATGGTGGGATATTAAACTTCTGAAGACTCCCTATTAAAAGCACAACGGCACAGCTTCTGCAAATGTGTGGACTTGAAACCCTTGCCAAACAAAGCCATATTCTGCTGTTCTGTTGCTATGGTACGTGTAGCAGTTGTCATGGCCTTTGTGGGTTTTTTTTTTGCTGAGTTGCGATTGGTCCAAAGTCATGGTAGTTCTCATGACTATTTCTGACTAAAGTGTTGTTTAGCTAATGCCCTCCTGGTTAACTGGTACAATCGAATGTTTTAGATATAAACTCCCTGGTATGTTAATATAGGGACAGCTCCCCTTGTCACGCTAAGACGAACTATTTTAGGTTCAGTTCTTAGAATGAAAATTTTAAGCTTGAAATATAAAGAGTTTAATCTGTAAAGTCGAAGCATCTAATTGTAGAGCCGTAGAGTGGACAGACACAGTGACAAATATCCATCGATGAAGACAACATATATCTAGGAAATATGTTTGCACTATTATTGACTGTATGCAAAAAAATAAATATACATTTAAAAACTAATATCACAGTCATATTATGTATTAGATGAACAGGCAAAATTGTAGCCAAAATGATATGGTAATAAACTGATAAACCGTCATAACCTTTTTGTAACTCTCCTTTCCAGCTCCACAGAACTTATAAAGCGTTACTGTTAACATTTCTGAACAGCAGCAAATGTACGTGTGAAAAACTGGAACAATGGAATGAAATATCGAGCCGCTCATTGTGCCAATAAGTGCCTGATGTATTTTGACTGTCCTTTTAAAGAACAGTTTTTGTCAGCTTATTTCGAGAGTGAATCCAAAAAGGGATTGCACACCAGTAAATGATTTCCTTTAAAGGCAGAGAATGCGAGCTTTAACATAAAAGGCATGAATTTAGTAGACTAAATGTATATAAATTAGGTCAAATTAGGTCAGGTTTTAACAGACTTTGAAGATGGTTACAAACAAGTGACCAGTCGTAAAGTCCCTTTCAGGCCTTAGAACTCATTTGTTCTGGTTCGAGGTCTTGGGCTAGAGACTGACGTCACTGACTGAACCACAAAATGCGTCCACAAATCACGAGTCACGATGAAACATTCTGTTTAATGTGCGTCATAGAAGTTTGTCTTCCGTAATTGATGAAGTTTCTTTAAAATTCGGTTTCTGCGCTGGTGGTGTTTATCAGCCTAGCTGTCGCAAATCTCTTTGTGCCTGCGTATACTTATACATTTAATAAGAATAGTAGTACAGCATTTTAAAGTTATCCTTTATGATTAAATATGTAGATAGTGATGACCTCGAATAACAATTTAGAAAACTGTGAAACTGAGTGTAAGTGTTAGGATAAAGCTGACTTTTGCGCTGTTTCAGCATCTATTTTTTCAGTTCCAGTTACATGTTTGTATTGCGCAAATTGTACACATTATTTAGTACTAATGAAAATAAGACGCCATGAATAACAACCCTGCGAAAGACTAAGAACAACAAAAAACGTTTTCTCTGCGTGTCCTTCACAAAAGTGCAGCTCACGCAGCATGTTGACATGCCATTCTTTTGTTATAACATTTCGTTTCCCCCGTGTTGGTTGTGTATGTCAAACCATTCGCTATAAGTACCACTCGTTCCTCTACATGTTCTGTGTTACCCTCGTTGTTTCCTCGCCGTGTTTGTATACCTGCTTCCACTGTGTGCTAACGGGTAATTTTCCGTTGGTATGTATAGCTTTGTTCTCAGATGTGTACCCCTTTATTTGGTTTATATGGGTTTTTATTTTATATATTTGAATGATCATCTGTTTCCACAGCTTGTATTACACATAAGAGTAGAAGTTACCTGCAGTTTTTTTGCCTTTTGTGCATGTGTTCAGCATGTCGGCTAAATGCTGCTGTCAGTGTGACTGCTGGGTGGAGACTGACAGCCATGTTCAAGGAACGGCACGCTTTGGACCCAGATTGCTACGAATTCCGATATTAGCCTATAAATTTGTTGTGACGTAGCGTGCACTTGCTTCGCTTTTGCAGCTGTTGCCGGTCTGACTGTATGTTGAATGTCATCTGCAAGCGAACAGAAACGGTCCCCGTTGACCTCATGTGACGCTGCTTTTTCCGGCATGCTGGTGGCAACTTGTTTGCTTCGACTTTACAGCATGCTGTGATGTGTTAGTTGTGGTCTGTATTCCTTATTTGGCGGGTGTGTTTCTCTGTGTGTGCTTGATTGGATGTCTCTGTGTGTGCGTGCCTGTAGGGGTGTGTGTGTATATGTGTGTGTGTGTGTGTGCGCGCGCGCGCGTGCGTTAAGTATTCTTGGCTTTCGACAACCCACAGCTCCCCTACCCTTTCTAACCCCTTTACCCTACAAGCCGCACACATGCCCTCATTTTCTCCCTCCCCGTCCCCCCTTCCCCCCATCCCTCCATCTCTCCATTTCTCCTCTCTCTGTGTTGATGAGATACGGTGATTTCTCTTAGGGGAGGCAGCAGTCCATCCTAGTGCAGCCCCGTCTTGCGCCCGTTCCGCCCCGAGTACACAGGTAATACAAATACAAATCAGTATAAAATTAAAAAGTACTGTAACGCACAACATCACTATATACTTACAGCCACACTGCAGCACGCACTGTACGCACAACTCTCATATACTTCTCTGACTCGCATCCACACACGGACGGACGCATGGACTCACGGACTGCCGGACCCACGGATAAACGGAGGGACTGACGAATGTGACAGTGCTGTGACGTATCTCATCTCTTCCTGAAAGTGTTTATTCATTCTTTTTTAATCAAATGGGGTTTGCTAATTTCATGCAATAATCGACTGTCTCTCCACTGTAATTTGGGGGAAATCTCCCGCCGCTCCTTTGGGACTGCAGCGACAGCGTATGTCGCTCACAAAACGCCAGGATTTCTCGGCAGGAGTTGCTCTAGCGGGTTCCTCAGCTCCTCATAAACACCTATGTGCTCTTCGTTTTGCTAATGACGAACTGTGTAAAATTGGTTTAAATCCGCTGCCAATCTAAAACGTGACGTATTCAATCACCCGTAAAATTAATTTATAAAAAGCTGTATTTCACACGTATTTTGTGGGTACAGTGTTTTTAAAGCGCTAATAAGTGATAACCTTAAACATATTAAATCTTTGGGGTGGCATAATATGAAATCATGGACCGTGCACATTCTTGATTCCTAATTTTAGCTTAATGCAAATGCTTACAGCGAAAAGGTTTCTTTCTACATGTACTCTGATGGCACAAATACATTTAGTCAAAAGATGGCGAGTATGTCTTACTCATAATGTCATAAGATAAAAAAAAAAGCTTGATATGGAGCTGATTGTTTACTACAGAACCGGCCGAAACTGTAAATGGCATACATATCGGTGTATAAACCTGCGTCTTGAAAACAAAATTTCAGCATAGGAACACGAACAGATTTGAC